CTGGTAACTATTGCTATATATGATGTGTTTTAATTTGCCACAGTGAATAATTACAAACTTGTAAATTGGAAAACACAAACTACGCACTGTAGTGATAAATACAATTTGACCAGTCGATTTGTATTTGGGTATTTACTAAGGCGAGCTGAAGACGAGCCGTTTGTAGATGTTTTCAGAAAACACCCTATAAGAGGGGATGCCGAAAGCCTTACTTCAATCAGCCTTTAGCCATTGCACACTAATGACTGACAGTGTACGATGACATAGCAAATGAGATTGTAGCATTAGTATAGTAGTAGTAGACTTCTAGTAAAACCTTATACAAACAGAACTAGACGAGCTAACGTACATCTTTAATGTGGACTGAAGTTTAGTGTTTTGGAAATATCGGGAACTTCATTCTGATTGAATGGAAAGCGAAGCAAGTTGCACTTTGCCTCTGTTTCATAACGAGGCTTGGCCTAGGTCATCATCTTCAACCAAATCAAATTCATATTCATATGAAAAGTTTTTGAACGTAGACTCGTTTTGAAACAGAGTCATATCGCTAAATTTCTAGTTCCAGTCTCTTCTTTTTTTGACCGTTTGAGTTGTAGGAGTGGAGCGAGTTTCACTCGTTCGTTTCTCATTTGTTCTTTGCATTTGTGACGCAAGTACTCAATGTATTATTAAATGATATCCAAGAGACGATTTCCGCACGAACGTCTCTGAAGTCTTAAATACAATAGAACATTTTGCAGAGGTATCAGCACGAAATTGATGAGCTGTATCAAATTTCAAATGATTAAAACCATGACTGAAATTTTTAAGACGGGAAACGAACGGATGAATTAAGGAGAATGCAGTCGCCAACGCTACGTTTTGCGATTAAGCAATAAAGCACTTTCTCCGTGTTTACACAGCCTCATCTAAACACGAGGAGGGTTGGGACAATTCTTCTCTAATTCTCCCAGTCCCCCCGAGTGTTTAGACGAGGTTATGCCGGCAAACATTGCTCTATTGCTATTATAAAATAGTGCTCAAAAATACGCTTGAATCTAAAACGTCACAAAACTATTTTAATACAAGGCGTAGTGACATACACTCCCTCTATTGACCATCTCGGTTTATCTCTTAGCGTGCCAGGAACCTCTCGGGATGGAAAGTCGCTTTATTTCTGACGCTCAAATTTCTGCCTCCTCGAGGTGGACTGGCCATCACGCAGCGGTTCAAGCACGACTGCACTACAAGGCCAGCGGAGTCAAGCAAGGAGGCTGGTCAGCTGGTATTAGCAATCGCAATCAGTGGTTGCAAGTCGATCTGGGAGCTGAAATCTCAGTCAAGGGTATAGCGACACAAGGCAGGAATAATTATAACCAGTGGGTAACCGCTTACAAGTTAGAATGCAGCAATGATGGAGCCTCCTTCTTGTATTACAAAGACTCGGAAAGCAGCGCAGATAAGGTAAAGCATCATGATCGCTGATCAGCATCACATTTTCTCTCAAGACTTGAGAAAACATTACGAGAAGGAAAGAACGAAATAATCATTAAAGAGGAGATACTCGTGACTATTTTTAAACACAAGTTAATAACTAGTACTGGAGTGAATGTATAAAGCTGACTAACGAGAATCTGCAGGTTGCAGGAACAATGTGCAATAACATTTCTCAGACTCATTAATAATTCATCAAGTTTAAACAAAGGAAATCATGACCGTGACGGTGTTTGGATATCTGATCTTATTCAGCATAGATTTTAACAATAGACCATTTTACAATTGTTTGCTCCGTACCTGGCCTTTGAATGGCAGCGACGCTGGAGTTGGCCTTGTTTTGATACAGACCTCACTGCTGTTGTTGTGTAAATCAAGTTGTTCTCGTGCTAACTAGTTGGCATTTGAATGAGAAAAGCAGAGAGGTCTGTATCAAGGCAAGGTCACCTGCAGCCTCGCTGCATTCAAAGGCCAGGTAACTGCACACACAACTGTAAAATGGCCTATTTTATTTCTCCGTTTTCTCCTCAGTTTTAGTTTCGATATCGATTGAGGAGATATATTAAACACCCACGACAGTGTTTGACCACATTTCCAAACACCTCGTAGTTCGTCAAACTCGCTGCGCGTCGTATTTTCAACTCTCTTCTCGGTGTTTGGAAATGTGGTCAAACACAGTCTTTCGTGTTTGATATATTACGTAAAGCCTTGCGCTGACGATCAAAATCGAATCTCAACTTATGCATGATTCACCTTGGGAGAATATAATTAATTATCACGACTGAGACAGTCGTCATTACTGTCTGCGTAACTGCTCTAATTTACAAATAAAGAAGCCAAAGTCGTACATTATACCAAAAACAGAAGAATTTAAAACATACTTTTTTGTTTTGGTCATTTGTTTAGATATTTACGGCAAATACTGACAGAAATACGGTTGTATATCACCCTCTAAGTCTGCCAATCAAAATACGTTACATTCGACTTGTTCCATGGACATGGCACCGTCATATTTCTATGAGGATGGAACTCTATGGTTGTCCCGGTAGGTCAATATGTAGTTATTAAAACACTGTATAAACACGCGAAGCTCGTTAAACACCCGTCTAGCTGGGTTCAAAACATCTCGCTTTGAATGTGCACTAGCTAATTTCCAGGCATATCAAGAAATAAAACAGTCAAAAAAAGTAATTATAAAAATAATAACAATTTCATTTGTCCTACATAATAATTATTGTGGTTAACGGTCTAATATAAAATAATTAAAGGTATATGCAATTAATCGAATTGCATTTTCTGTAATATAAATTTTCAATGACTATATTAGTTGTCTATTTTTCAATTTGTTACATGTTTTGTAATAAGAGGTGACATAGCGTGGGTAAAATAGCTACTTGGAAAATATACAAAAAGTACAAAGGCCATCCTCACTGAATCTTCAAATACGCTTTCATATTGATTATTAACCCTATTCAGACTGTGGATTGCTTTAGAGACCTCACCAACTTTGAACGTTTGAAACTTAAAAATCATTGACGCAAAGAACTAGAAATATGATGCCTTTTCGTAAAGTTTATTTGTGAAAAGTTTTGATACGGCGTTCCACTGGTTAAGATATTGATATTTCCATGGCAACCGTATTTTGACGTGCATGTCTGTCAAATTTTGAATTCTCCCGCAGTAAATTCTACGTTTTTTAGATTGTTAGTTATCTTAATCGGTTTTGACTATTTATTTTGAGCCAGTTTTGGTGCTGTTATAAATCATCCAAGTTCCATTGCTATATAGCTGGAGTTAAGTTAAATCTGCGCTCTTTATTAGTGGATCGATTTATGGTCACGTAGCAATCGCTAAATCTAAATGTTGTCTTGGCGGTCAACAATGACGCAATTGTTGCCCGCTCCCCCACTAACCAGAGGTTACACTGACTTCCTCTTGCTTTTCTACTTTACACTAAACTCCAGACATATAACAAAACACTTAATTACTAGTCCTTTGGGAAAAAGTTTTTTTTTTCATGTTTCCCTTGAATCTAGATGTTTCCCTTGTCATCGTCTCGGGAAACAACGAGATTCTTGGAGATACAAAACTAAGTGTTTGAGTATATTGTCATAGCTTCAATGCCGTAGGAGTTATAAGGCGAGGGCTTCAAAAGACCACCTTCCCTCCCCCCATTCCCTTTCCAAAAGACAAAAAAGCACGGTCTGAATAGGGTTAATGTCATACCAGGTCTGCACTGTTCACACGGTAGTTCGATGATATTTTAACTTTCTGTTTCGCCGTCTTTTCTCTTGCGAAGAATGCCGGGATCCTCTTGGAATGGAAAGCCGCGCGATCTCCGATGCTCAGATTTCTGCTTCATCCGAGTGGGCTCCGAGCCATGCGGCCATACAAGGGAGACTGAACTTTCAGGCAAGCGATGAGAAGAGTGGAGCCTGGTCGGCGAAACACAATAATCAAAATCAGTGGCTCCAAGCGGATATGGGCAGCAGTAAAAATATCACACATTTAGCGACGCAGGGGAGGAACGGATATGAGCAATGGGTGACCAGTTACAAGGTCGAATACAGTAACAATGGCGCGTCCTTCCATTGTTATCAAGAACATGGCACCGACAAGGTATGTGAACTTACTTACACTTGCTTAGTAATTCCTGCCGTAAACTTACTACGGCCCATCCTGCTGAGGTTTTAGTTTTTCGCGTCCGTGATGACATTTAGGGTCTTTAGACCATCCTGACCCTGATAGATTTTAAAGGGAAACAAACAAACAAACAAACAAACAAACAAAAAAACAAGAAAAAAAAACAACAGCAAACAAATAAACAAACAAACCCATTAAGATCCATAAAAATAAGTTCCCTTACATGTGCATTCTGGCCACGGAGAAAGATGTTGATGCCACTTTTACGGGCATTTTGTTTGAATTTCGAAAACATGAGAGCTTTTGCAGATGGAAATTGCCAACTGGTAGCACGCTTAATACTGATGAAAGTCGCCGACACCTAGTTATACTATCCTTGTCATAGTTTTACATTCAACTTGTCTCTCAGTTATCACTGCGGTAAAAAGCCGTGTGTAAGAGCTTAGTGGTTTAAGAATGGCTGACTGTAAGGATCCAGAAACGCCGGTCAACGACCCATTTGGCAAATCGCTCATATTTTGCCCAAAGATACCCTTAGG